ACATCGAGGGTGAAAAAAGAAAGAAAATACTACACGTTTTAGAGCATTCGAAGATATACTCTCTTTACGAGCTGATATAGCATACGAATGTTCCTACAGGGTGGATTTTACGATCCGTTACTTTTACTTTGATTTTCTCGCCGAGCCTACGACATTTACCGTCTGGGAACTTCGGCAAATTGTACAGTTTGTGGAAGCGACGGTGTGACGATGGTCGATGGTGGCTGAGTAGATGGTGCGATTCAACGGTGGATCGCCACATTTTCAGATTACGTGCTGAAAAGTTAAGCATCGAAAACAGATTGCACACTGAAAAATTAACGATAATACACACCTCGGTGATAAGAAACGCTGACAGTAGCGAGCGTTTCGTGAATCTCTCCGCCGTCCTGATCGACGTAGTTAGAATTCATTTCTAAATCGATATTTCAAATTTCTCCTAACGATTTTTCCTATCGCTTTCATTGCTTAACCTCTTCAGGGATGACGTTTTTTAAAGTTAGCAAAATTTGATCTAATTTTTCATATAGTTACATTTATATTCGTGTTAAATCGATAGCAATTAAGCTACTTTCCTTGAGAGATTTTGGGAGATCGTGTTTTTCATATTTTCTCTATAGCAAAGATTAGAATTTTCGGAAAATCTAAAGGTACTACACATACGTGTCGGTGTCCCTGAAGAGGTTAATAGTGATTGTCGTATTGGTGAGAGTTCCGTGAGGATTAAAATGCAGAGAAATTATTTGAAATACACCGCAAGGGAAAGAACCAACTTCGAATTGATATCGTACGGCCCTGGAGGAGTCTCAAGCACCTTGTCTCCCTCAGACTGCTGTTTCGGCACTCGGATTACATTTCGACGTCTGACCGATTTTACGACTTCGCTACATCGCTTCCGTTAACTATACAACGACGCAGTTTGTCGAGTAAATAGGATTCGTATTCGAGTACAATAGGAAGAGGCTAGTTACAAAAGAAAGGAGAGCACAATCAGGTATAGTCAATGGAAGAAATATAGCGAAGTCGTAAATTAACACGTTCTCTGCCCGAGGAACGTGACGTGTGTATCAATTCGTAGCTCTCGGTGAAACTCGTGATTTTCGTGATGGTAGATATCGATTTGTATTGTCGCAGCAATTACCGATCGATACACCGTCGACGATGGCACACAGGGTAACTCATTTTGTGTCGACGATGCTTCGACAACGGCAGCGAACGTGTTGAAGCATTAAGTAAGTCGACTCGTGAAATTTTCCATTTTTCCACCGAATCAAAACTCAGGTATACTTGACACTCGACCCATTCGCTGCCACCGACGCAGCGTATGCGGTCCAGAATGTATCGCCTATCGTGTTAAAACGTTAAGTACGTCGACACGTGAAATTTTCCATTTTTCCACCGAATCAAAACTCAGGTATACTTAACACTCGACCCATTCGCTGCCACCGACGCAGCATATGCGGTCCAGAACGTATCACCCATCGTGCTACTATCCGTTTTCCAGTGGCAGCGAACGTGTTAATACACCTTCAACTGAGATTTCAGGCCCTATATCTTCTCAGGTTTCCCTCGATTCGCCTGTCGATGCGTTCAAACGCGTAAACTTCGCCGCCTGAATCAATCTCACGACCTCGCTATATTTCTTCCACCGACTATACATAGAACGTACTAGCCTCGTTCGAGAAAGCTCATAAACAACGCGTTCCGTTGGAAATACAATGGGGAAACTGTCGAAATACATTTGGCCCGATTCGCGTAGCCAGGGAAAATTCCGTATGCCAGGTCTCCGATGATACCTCGTACCGTATTAATCCCGGTGAGGACAGGGGTTGGTGGAGAAGCAACGTTGATAGAGGTGGTCTGATGTGTATCAGCTATCCGTGTCTGAAAAGTTACGACGAAAGAGGCTCTCGGACCTCTCCTCCCCTTTTCGCAGCCGGCCAGTTAAGCTCGTATCCGGACGTGAGCCGAAGCGGAAGGAAGGGGACGTGACGTCGCGATTAAAGCGAATTAAACGGAGCGAACTGTACGAATCGGTATACCCTCTCTCTCTCTCTCACTCTCCTCCCTCCGCTCTTCTGCCTGCTTTGCTTATCCGAACAAGTGGGTTCGCTCCTTTTGTAATCACACTTACGGGCCTCGTTATCTACGATCGAAACGGCGTGTGTCCCTATCGGTGATTGAAATTCTTCGTCGAGATTACCGCGAGAATACGTAGAATACGCAGAATGTTAAATCGAGGAAATTTCGTTTTTGGGTGTATTATTACCTGCGTCTTCTTTATTCCTCTTCCATCTTTATTAAATAGATCAACGCTTCGAGGAATACTTTTGAAATCTCTAAAAAGATTTTTACGTACAACGATAAAATATTCGTTCGTATTCACCGAGTATTGCTAAAAGTTTAGAGTAACCTCTGAGAAGAAGTGTTCACAACTTGGTTATGTTCTTGTGTTAAACTAGAGCACGATTGTGCTTTTCAGAAAATTATGTAACGGCCGGTTTTATGCCACGAGTTCAAGATTAAATCGATAGCCGTGCCTTTGTAGAACAATTGTCTAGCGATGAAAAGCGTGTGGAAAGGTCGGTGGAGAATGCGGCGTGGACCACACGGTGGTAAAAGCGTCTTTAGTCGTAATGGAGAGTGAGGACGGGCAGCAGAATGTCCTCGATATAATGTCGATGATACGGTTAACGCAGGCTTGTCGAATCGTCAAGGGAATCGGTCGCTGAGATTCACACCAGCGCGTGTAGAACCTTTTGAAACGAGCGGAGGAGCATCCTTGAAACAAGCAGCAGCAGCAGCAGCCGCCGCGCTTCGGCCGTTCCACTGACATTTTCCATGGGTGTATTTTCGCTGTATATTGCGTAATCGCGTTTAACCATCGATGGTTGCAAACTTTACCGCCGTGAACCCGTGTGTATGTGTGCGAAAGGTGCAATTAAAAGCGTTGCGCCGAAGGTTGTTCCGGGTTCAGATAGGTCTGCTTCCATGCACCAGGTAAACTGTATAGGCGAACGATGAGTTAATCGAGTAGAATTAATTATCAACCCGTTGCCTTATAACAACTAGTCGGACTCGTGACACAGATTCTGGCCAATATGCGGACTAAAACAGTTATACCAATATACTGTAGGATAAGATAGTGTAATACAAATTATCTTCCACCTACGTCGATTTTTTTTTTGGGTCAGATTTAATTAACCTAAAATTTCCGAATCGGAATTTGTGTGTTCTTTTCTGTTTTTGATCGTGTAATACGAATTATGTTCCACTTACATCGATTTTTCAGTCAAATTTAATTAACCCAAAATTTCCAAATCAGAATTTGTGTTCTTTGTATTTTTCAGCGTAGTTTGATAGTGTAATACGAATTAAGTTCCACCTACGTCGATTTTTGGGTGAAATTTAATCAACCCAAAATTCAGAATTTGTGTGTTCTTCTTTTAACAATTACAAATTCAGAATTTGTAATTTTCAATTTTTTCGATCGCGTTACCCGTGGTCCTACTGTACTCTAACGGTATCACAGATTTATTTCAACACTAACTTCACTTCGAATTTACGATACACAGAGTCACCGAATTCAAATAATTTTTTTTCACCTCGTACAACGTTAAACATCTGACGATTACACTCGCAGCGAGTAACAAACAAAATCATAAATCAAAGGAATAATGAAAAGAGTGTAATTTCGTTTTTGTTTTAACACACTTTTCTCTCAAGCGTGTCTTTATCTTTGTAACGAAACAATTACCTTGTCAATCGGTTTCAGACCTTTTCTCTTATCAGAACACAGGTATTCGTCATCCTTTTCAATTCTGAGTCAAACTGTGAGATAAGGCAAGGTTATCACCTACGACTCTCCGCTCTTTATTGCTTACAACACACTTTTTCAAGTGCCTTCGTTTCCTTTCTTACAAACTCTCTTACGTCGGAGTAAAATTCGTAGAATGAAAAATGACAACGTGGTACGTTCGTATTGTTAGTAAAAAAAATTGAGACACGGGTGGTAGAATTTCACTTGGAACCGCACTTGCACAAGTCGGAAACGTCATATGGAAGACACGAGAGAGGTGGTGGTGGATACGTCGGAAAAGCAGCGATCTATGAATGGAGACGGGCCTCGGATCAGTCGGCAAGCAAGGACGACTAATTATAGAGTTAGTATCTCGGAGCTTCGTTTCGTACGTTAACCACGCACCACGTCCACACACATATATATATTTCTTTTTTATATATACATATGTATATGTAATCACGTGTACATATATGATGGAACATTTAGTTCCGAGATGGTACTCCTGCAATAGAGGGCGTAACCTAGTTTACCGGTGACGTAAAGCGGCTCAGGATTGAAATTCAGGAAGAACACGCGCCAATCCATCGACGCTCTCTTCTTCTTTTCTGTTCTTTCATCTTTTTTTCTCTCCGCTTCAATTCTGTTACACGAATTTTTCTCCGATGTGTCTACTTTCGAAATATCAATTTTATATATGCACTACGAGAAAAAGAGAGAGAGAGAGAAAGTATATCACGGAATGGGTCGAGTATTCGCCTTTCATCCTTGACCCGCTCGGGACACGATGGCCTGTAATTATGTCATCGTGTTACTCGAATGTGCCTGGGATACATCGACCCATTTTTCCAGCAAAGAACGTCGAATTAATTTCCCCTTTCTCCCTCCCTCTTGGTCACGTCGTCGTCGTTTGGCCAACGAGAGTCCAAAGAATAGAAGAGAGTGACGTCGCGGCCACGTTTCACCGTATTTGTCTTTGACCACGTTGAAAAGATAATGGAGAGGAGAGGATGGTTCGCGATTGATGGCTAAATAAAAGGCGGTGATGATGCTAAAAATAGACAAGGTCAGGAACGAATGTGAATGCCGTGACGTAGCGCGAAAGTACGCACCGGGAGAGACACTGATATTTCGTCGGTGGAAAAAGAGAGACGATGGAATAGCATATCGAAGAAATTTATAATCGTTTCGTTCGCCTCTGTGACGGGGTAGGGAAAAGCACTCAGGATCGCTTTTGAACGAGAAACATCGGGGGGTGCGGAAGAATTAAAGTGTTCAGCTAATGAACATTACGACCATTGTGGGTGTTATGAAATACAGCCTTTTTATTATCTTCCACGCAGGTACAGTTTTTTGTTTCTCTGGTATATCTATTTGTTCGATGATGTGTTTGCTCGAAGGGAAATGAATAGAAAATGCACAATTGTAATGCGTAAATAAGTTCTAATAAAAAAAAAAAAGAAGAAACTTTATCAGTCTAACACATATACATTTACGCGGTGACACGTTATATTTTGATGCGCTTCTCGCGTGTTTTATAGCAATTGTAACATATATTTGATCGCAAAATGTACTAGATAGTGCAAATTTTTGATATACGTTGAAAAGTATAGCGAGAAGGGAAACAACGTTTAGAAGTACTTCTCAAGATGTTGCTTCAATTTACTGGGCTCGACGTTCGGCCCGTGACGTTCCACCACTTTGCCCTCTTTGTTCACGATGAACTTGGTGAAGTTCCATTTTATAAAACTACCCAGAATTCCTCCTTGCTCTTTCTTCAGATATTTCCAGAGAGGATCCGCGTTGTCTCCGTTCACGTCAATTTTTGCGAACAAATCGAATTTAACCTGGAACAAAGTTCAATTATGCGACCGAACGAAAAATAATATCATTTGTATCTTGGAATATTCCGAAAAGGTTCCTGTACATTGTGTCGATCGGCGAAGCTACATATGTCGCTGCTGGTTCCTGGTTCTTGACCGTTGAACTGATTGCAGGGGAAAGCCAAAATTTTTAAACCTATAAATACAGTTGGTATCATAGTCATTTTAGAAAGTACGCTAGATATGTACCACCTTTTACACCTACCTTTGGACTCTCCATATTCATGAAACAGTTCGTTCAATTCCTTGTAGTTTGTCGGTGTGAGGCCGCATTTTGACGCCACGTTTACGATTAAACAAACGTGCCCCTCGTATCTGTAAATATGATTGCATTAATGACATATATTCGTATCTTCTGCGTGTTTTTTTTTGTAAATTTGATTTCAACAGAATAGAAATTCTATCGTAAATGTCTTAATAAATTTTAGACATATTACACTTTAATATTTATTTACACAGCTTTTAATAAATATAGATATATTTACTTTGTTTTAACTTCGATACATGTTTTACTTACTTGGACAGAGGGACGTCTTCGTCTTTAATGTTTTTAACAGTGAAATCGTAAATCGATGTCGCGTCCTTGTAATTGCCGTTTCTGCTCATGGTTGTTGCTGCAACTGAAATCGATCGATATATAGTACCTCGTATTAAAGCTTCTAAGCGAGGAAGTGTATCTTGCGTGGAAAAAAAAAGGGTCTATTTAATATGTTTGAAAAATACTGAAAGCGAACAACAAATACAACAGGACAACAAAACACTTGTTCATGTATCGACGATGAGCTTGAAAGAAGCGTGTGTTGGACATTGTCGTTACTGATGTTAGGTATCGACGAAAAAGTATTCGAAAATATTTGGCTTAATGTTTAAACTAAATTATTCTTTTTTAGTTCGTTCAAATCCCGCGAGAGAAAGATTTGAAAATAGAAGACAAATGTTTTTTCTTCTGACTATAATTTTTATTTCATTTCATCGTTATCGTACCAGAACTAGATTAGTGCGTGTCAATTGTGCACTAATCTTACTCATATAACGATTACTTGCAATATTCATTATTAATGTATGACGCCGAGTGATTACGTGACATTACTACATTTACGCAGGTGATATTTCAGTTTGCTAACTTTTTCGATGTTTTCTGTATGGTTAGTAATTTTATTCTGTGTGAAATTATAATTAAAATTATAAAAGTATTATCGTCAACCCGCCGAGATAAGAGAGAAATTAAACAGATATGTTAAAAAAAAAAGAAAATAAAGGTTTCTTTGAAAAATTACGATATTCGTAGTGACATTATGGTATTCTTATGTGCCTCAGTAACATGTACACACTATAAGTATTCAGTGACCGCGATATATGAGACGCGTATCGTTTCGGTTGCAGTACGTCGTAAGATGAGTTTCCGGATACGTGAAAGGCACATCCTTCGTATTTGAAGAAAAATTAACTCTTTAAAAATTAATAAGATTTTGTTATATACGTCGAAAAGTATTAAAAAAAAAAAATAACGGTATTTCAGAATACGAGTTGTTAATATTACTAATATTATTTGTTAGGAATGGAAAGTTTTAGTTCTACTATCGTATTGATTCTTCCAAATATCGTCTTTAAAAGCAAATGTATCATACTGTTTTTTTCTCTCATAACGAGGAAAGGGGGAGATAAATGTGAAATTTATTGAAGTACGTGCCTGAACAATTTCGGAATACCGTAAAGCCAAGCGGTAGTAATCGTTTTAAAATATGCATTTCTCGTTGTACAATATGCGCAGGACAAAGATGCACAATCGTGTTCCTGAAATTGTTAGTGCATATGATGTACACATTTTTACAATGTAAAACGTTCCAAGTAAACAGTATTGCACTTTGTAACTTAGCTAAAGAATCTCTGTTAGTTTTACTTATCATCACAGGATAGCCTATAGATTAATGTAAAACAAATCCCATGATAGGTTATGTATTATATCTGATAACGTTGCAATATCTGATAGTATGTCGCTTTAATCTCGCCATAAATTGATCACATTTTACGGCGACATATAAAGAAGAATAAACTGAGGCAACGATGTGAATACTTTTTGAATATTCGATGGAAAACAGAGCTTTTTGCGTATACAGCAAGTTAGAATCGATTGCCATCTGCCGTTCAGCGTGTAAAACTCACGGAACCTCGGCTATCAAGTTGTACGGGATGTCTAATATTTTACGCCACGTCATTCTGAATTTCAATTCTGTATCTTTTTGCACGTACAATAAAAGCATTCATGAATGATTATGATTCTTGATAATGTGCTTGTTATATAAATCGAGTAAATCTTACCGATGATATGTCGTTAAACCTTGAAGAACAGTCGTAAAAATGGAGAACACAACCGCACTCTAGAAGCTCTGTGTTTGCACTGACGAGCGGTACGAATTTACTAGAGTTTACTGGCTCGCATACTAGCACAATATATACGTATGTGTATGATGACACTGAACATTTCGTTATAAGACAAAATTATCGCAAACTTTTATACTTGACATTATTTATCTTTTTAATGTGACATTGATTGTTACAAATATTTTCCGAATAATGTAACTTCGTATAGATCTTAGGTTACAATCGTATTGTTAGAAGAACAATTGTTTGTATTACTAACAAATGATTTTCATTTTTGTTGCAGTACATTGGTTCCATGGAAAGTATTTAAAGATAAATTAAATGAAGTTCATCCAATTAGTTCTGGATTACAAGCCATGGCATTAAAATCCACGATAGATCTCACGTGCAATGACTATATTTCTAACTTTGAATTTGACGTATTTACGAGGTAAGCTTGTTCATATTAAAAGAAGTTATTCTTTGTGGTAAATGGAAAGAATGAGATGTAACATTTATTCATATTCTTCCAGGTTATTCCAACCATGGTCTACACTTTTGCGTAATTGGAAAATTCTGGCTGTGACACATCCTGGATATGTAGCTTTTCTTACTTATGATGAAGTGAAAGCACGTTTACAGAAGTATTGTAGTACTAGACCTGGGAGTTATGTATTCAGACTAAGTTGTACAAGGTTAGGACAATGGGCTATTGGTTATGTCACATCAGATGGAGATATTCTACAAACAATACCTCACAATAAAAGTCTTTGTCAAGCACTGTTAGATGGATATCGGGAAGGATTGTAAGCATACTATCACATTAGATATAAAAGAAGATCAATAGTACTCTAATAAAATTCCAATACTTATAATTTCTTTTTAGTTATTTATATCCTGATGGTCGTAATATAAATCCAGACTTAACATGGGCAGTTCAACCCACTCCAGAGGAGCATATAAAAGTCACAGCAGAACAATATGAATTATATTGTGAAATGGGTAGTACATTCCAGTTATGTAAAATTTGTGCAGAAAATGATAAAGATGTGAGGATAGAACCTTGTGGACATCTCCTTTGCACTCCGTGCCTCACAGCTTGGCAGGTGGTGATATTTAACTTGCTGATTTATTCCGAAATACTTTGCAAGAAAATTTCATAAGAGTATAATCCAATATATATACGTTTATAGGACTCTGAGGGACAGGGTTGTCCGTTTTGTCGAGCTGAAATTAAAGGAACTGAACAAATAGTAATCGATCCGTTCGATCCGCGAAGAACACATCGACCGGGAACACAATCAGCGTCTGCTAGTAATGCATCAACCCCCACGCGGGATCTTGACCCGGACACCGAGGTATCCGACTAGGAGTAGCACCTACCCTCATTATATTAAATGTGCTCTATGTATAACAACTTCCCAGCAACACGCCTCATTTTTTAAAGAATGCTTCATGCATTTCATGTGAGATCTCGAGTTTGTACGATTGTCATGCCATATCATTTATAGGAATATCATCGAACGTGTTACCTCTTACGGAGGTACGTAAGTTTAAATACAATGACGAACTTTATTAAAGTTAATATTTTGGATAAACAATGTAAAAAGGGACCAACTTTTTTGTCTCTATATGAGCTTCATTCAAATCGTATTTTCTTTTTTTTTTTGTGCATTATTTCTCTATGTATATAAGTACATTCAGAATGGATTCACAGAATAATTCTGAGAAAGTTTAAGTTTACGAACGATTAATACGAATGTTTCTTGCAGTTCACGTGTTTATCTAAACTAACATGTTTTCTTTTTTTTTTTTTCGTTTTTTTTTTTAATTAGTCGTTTGTATGTATCTCGATTTTTCGAAAAATCTTCCAATCTATGGAGACCCTAAGGTAGGTTGCTTTTTTGCATTACAAAGTCGAGGGCTTATTGTACGACTCATCGTTCTTGTTTCATTACTACAAAGCGTTTTACATTTATAATCCCATATTCTCGTTGGTGAGGACTTGCACGATACTATGGCTATCGTGCAGCCCTCGAATTATCGCACACCAGTGTCGCCTGATTTCCTCTCGAAGGACCAACCGAGAATCGTCATCGGGAAACTGAATATTACTATGATTTGTGGTTTACTGTTTTATTTATACTGAACTTAGTCTAACTGTACAATGTAAAGCCTAACCGCTTCTCGTTGGCCTGAACGTCACTAGCCTGAATGCTAGTGCATTACTGTTTGACTCTGACTGACTAACTGTGTGACTGACTGTCTCTAACTGAATGACTCTGTTTCTAACTGAATCACTCTAAATAACTGACTGTGTACCTAGCCTGTTCGCTAGGCGTTCTAACTATCTCTCGCTTCTCATTTCTTACATGCACGCTGATTGGACATTCCTAAGAAATCCTTAATTGCCAATCAGCGTGTCTAAGAGACATTACGAGCACTCTTCCCTTGCGCCCTTAGCGTGCCTTTTCTTGGGAAGTGGTGGCCGATGTCTCACAATGAGAAAGTAACGGATGTTTTGACAATGCTGAATTTCCTCCAGGTTTTCGACCATTCTGTCTCCTGATTGTTACAACATGATAGGCAAAAGACCCTTCGGAAATTCCAACTTTATAACACGTCTTCAGGCTATCGAGGACGAGAGAAGCGAATTTCTAAAAACCTCTTGGCTATAAACTTCAACTTCTTTCGTCGGGAACATATTTTAATCTTCTAAATACATTCTAACAATGACGAGCTAAAATCCTCAGCTCAGAAATAGCCTTTTGCTAACGGCCCGTGTCATAAAGCGTTGCCTTAACACTCGTGAAGTGAAACTTCGTGTCGTTTAACATACACGTTTACTGTGTTGTACTGTCGTTGTACGACAATTTATTTAAAATAATAGAACTTACACTTTTACTTACGAAAGGCATCTAACGTTTAGTGATAACATTGTAGTCGATCCCCGTATCAAATTTACGATAATACTTACACACGGATCGCTTTTTTTCTTCAATACAATAGAGGATAAAAGGACCAATTCATGGAACCAATCATATTTTAAATGCATGTGCCAATGTATAGCTGGCAGCGTTTTTACTTTTGCGGTGTGTGCATACAAGATTCGAAGTTAGAACGCCTCATCTTCACGTACAATTGCATTATTTATCGAATAGGAAATTTTACGAGGGCACAAACGAATACTCTTTCGGAGGAGAGATGTGCGTTGAATCCCAGATTAGTAGGAAATCAATCAGTCGAACGATTTGCATCTTTTGCTATAAACAAGATTTATTTCACAAGACTCTGATTTGATACAACTCCTAGCTTCATGTTTTGTTTATAAAAAAACAAAGAAAAAGAAGAAGAAACTTTAAATCTTTTCTTATTAATTTCGTATCTTGTTGAATATATTGTGTACTGTGTTACGTTCACGAGTATAAGCAATGACATTGTGAAAAGTATAGAAGAAAAGGAAATGGTGATTTTGATAGTACTTAGAGAAAAAAAAAATCAGATAAAACGAAACGATCTTCCGACGGAAGTAAACGTAGCTTACATCGAGCAATGGAAGTGCTACGTAGACCATAGATGAACGATCGTTCATCGTTTTTTTTTGTATTTTATTAGAATTAATTACGTACCTGTTGGCGATAGAAACAATGTAATAACATGCGACATCTTTACCAGGGAGAAAAGATGTTATTATTTTCTTTACATTTAGAATATTTATTATTTATTCCGTTCACACATTAAAACGACTTTTTTCTTTCCCAAGGAGTTATACCAGTGATTGTATGGTAACACTTCATGTCGAATTTTTTAATGCTGTGGTATTACGTATTTTCTCTCTCTCTCTCTTTCTCTCACTCTCTCTCTCTCTCTCTCATTGAATACATCGATACCACAAATTCCTGTATGCATCAGTGCATGCAAGAGCAATTGGAAACAAAGAAAAGAAAAAAAAAGCAAACTCGTACTCGTTCCCACAAGAAAAAAACGAGAATTATATTTTTTTAACGTATGGATTGGCAGAAATTAAGGATTTAAACAAAGAAAAAAAAGAAAAAGGGAGTAGTAACTTCTTAAGTGTAGAATTACGTATATCTTACATCTACTACGAAATATTACCTACATTCTTGCACTAGAAACTCTAAATTAAAGGATAGATTTTTTTACTGCGTTCATGTGTAGCCATTAGCGTAATTTGTACAATGAATAGTGCTGCAAATTGATCAATCGTTTAGATCCAATTCATGCTGCGCACATCCAGCAGTGAAAGAGGTCTAAAATAAATAATTCATAAACATTACAAATTATAGCGTACGTTTCTTCCTACTCATTGTAAAATATTAGGAATCTGAGACATACGTTCTCTCTCGCTCCCTATCTTTCTCTGTCTCTTTCTATCTATCTCTATCTTTCGTTTCCTTTTTCTCATTTTTTTTTTCATAAATAAAATTTTATTCTAATTATATCGAGTTACTTTTGCACATTTTGTACACGCATCCCTTTTGCTGGATTTTGCTAATTTTCTTTTTTTTTTCTCTCTCTCTACACCTGTCGGATCAGTGTTCCAGCAACAGGGAACCATTGAGAAACGAGCCAAGGTGTTATATATCGTTATATATCGTTCGCATGATCGTTTATCTTTAATTTCATAACGTTATCTACTGGGTCCATTGCTCTGCCCGCTGCATGAACGAAAACTAATCGGTAATGTACATAGCTGAAGGAAACGTGTTTTTGACCCGCTGCGAACGCAGGTAAGTGAAGAAATGCATTATGGCTCTCCGCTTTATACCGCTTTGTATAATTATGCTCGTTCATTAATTGTGATGTTTCTCCGCATACAGGTTTTGTTATTTTACATACAAACAGACAAACGCGACGATACTTTACGGAGTTTTCGTGCTATTAATCTACACAGAGAATACTAATTAAAAGCAGCTTCGTTTGGTACAATTACTACTTTGCATCCAATTCAGTTTTATTACAATGTATATTAATCATTAATAAATCCATCCTATATATATATAATATATACATCGTTACAAAACAGAATTGAATGGAGTGTGTGCTCTTGTACGCGTTCACGCATTTCCTTGCATCGAATAACAACATATACAATACTAGCATACTAAATTTAAAACAGATCCTGTTCTTTCTCAAACAACTATACAGAAATGAATGCATCTTTTCCTCCCTCTCGATGTTTTAGGAAATCATGGATCTGTGTAACGGACACTGCGGATTGATATGCGACGACTCCGACGAGGAAGATGATTCCAGTCCAACGAACTCCCCTGTCTCTGCGAGAAGAATCGTGCCAAGTCCACCGCTACCTCCTCGACGACCTTCTCCGTCGCCCACGCCGAATAGCCACTCCAGGAATGGTCGTCATTTAACTGTCCCCAAAGAGAATGCTCCACCACCGCCAACGTCAGCAGTCAACTCAGCTTTCAGCTCTAATATCGACAATCAGCAAAATAATAATAGTGAGTAAGGATGATCAACCACTGACAACTGACATTTATTGTTTATCATTTGGTAAATAAATAATCGAGACTCTCTTAAAGTCTATGGGCCTTCCATAAATGTCTAAGCAGTGAAGTAACCAACTTCCAATGAAATTTTACAAGATCTTGTATAATATAAAAAATACATTAAATATTGAAATAAAATAGTTACATTTATTTTTGAAAAAATTTCATCAATTTGCTAGTAAATACTAAATTTTGAAGGCAATAATGAATTTTTTAGTACAAGCAAGTACCAAGATTTGTTGCTTGCAAAAAGATCTTCCAGTGCAAAGGGTTAAATGAATGTTATGCTCTACTCTTATCGGTACTGTTTTCCTGTACCTTTTACAACGATTCTATAATGAAAATTGTATTTTACCAGTAAACGAAGCAGGGTACGACATGCTTCATCGCGCCTCTTCACCATCAACGGTACCACCGGTACCTCCAGCACCTTTTGCGGTGGTCAGGGGTCACGTTCGTCGGTCTCAAGGAAATCACGTAACCGCGTCGCAACCACAACCGCCACCAACGTTACCTGAAAAATCTAGTCGTGCAAGTAGCGCGTCGTCGATGACCAGTAGCGGCCAAATAACGTCCAGCAATAACGTTCCACCGGTTCCACCGCCGTTGTCGGTGCCAAGGCCGCCAAAAGGTTCGTCTGGAAAAGAGCACAATCGGCAACAGGATCATCATTACGAGAATACAATCGTGATACCTGGTACAAGACAGCACGTCGTGAGGAACATTAGTCTGGAAGCGAATACAGCTCGATTGTCCGCCCTGATGAGAGGTAAGGAGGATCCCAGCGGTCCCGCTAAGCCAGAATCCGCGGCATACGAGAACGTGAACGTCGAACACATTTCCAAGCTGACGGCTCTCGGATTCGCGCAAGACGCCGTGATTAGAGCGCTCGGTATAACTAGGAACGATCTCGAAATGGCTTGTGACATACTGCACGAATTTGCCACGAAATCGTCTTGACCAGGTATGCGTAAAATGCAAACCTAAGAAAAGAAAAAAAAGCAAAAAGAATTTATATGGAGGCCTACCTCAAATTATACTTGCTAATTTCTATTCAATGACGTAGCGTTTTTTTTCCAGCAAATAACACATGAAATTAGTACATGAACATTTAATCAATTTCATACGGTAGTGTAAAGATTAGTAGTTCTATTGTTTCCTTCTCTCTCTCTCTCTCTTTCTTTTTTTTGTTCTAAATAAAATGAGATCTACGGATTCAGTGATTGTTTCTTTTCTTTTTTCTTTTTGTTTCAGGGTCGAATACCGAGGGCTCGTAATTGGTTTCACTTGTCGCACTATTGATGAACATTATGCGCAGAAACGTGTAGAACTTGCTGTCGCTGGTATGCTGGAAAAACAAAAATCTGTCCTTTTTCCGTGAGCTCACAGATGTTCTTCACGAAATTCGAAAAATACACCCACACCTCCCTGAGAGCCGATAAGCAGAGATTTCGTGTCCAGTTTAATCGGCAAAATATTCTTGATAGTTCGATTACTCTTCAGCCTCATCACGCGATCTTCGTGGAAGATGTCCCTCGAGATATACCAGTGTATTTCTTTTTTTCCTTAAATGTACATGCGTACACATATACACGCACACACACACAATCGAACACACACAAATACAAAAACAAATACGAACAAAAGAAGACTGCTTAAACTGTGAGAGAGCGCAATGAATGTGTTGCAAAAATGTAAGTAAGAGACTATACGAGATGATAGTTCGTACCCGCCGAGTACAAAAGTCTTTCGTTTCCCGCGATCGATGCAAAGCGATTAAATTGCTGACAACAGTTTCTCCCTAAAGTAGTTTCTCCATCTTTCGTAAGTAGAATAAATTACACATTTTTCAATCTACTTAAGGACAAGAATTTAAATATACATTCTTAAACGAGAGAAGAACTCGCATGCAATTACACGATTGTACAGTGGCCAAATTTATTAATAGGCTCATTCAAAATGATTCTACCCCCCCTTTTTTCTTTTTTTTTTTTTATCAATGTACTAGTGTATATGTCCCACCCCCTTCTCTGTTGCTTGTTTTCTGGGAAAAGGAATATTCAGATTAGATTTTTACGAGATATTTAAATAATATCTCTTATACATATATTATATATGTATATATATATATATTCGTTGCACGTTTTGTCGATCGCGTGCAACGATTTATTATAGCGTTATTTATCGAATGTGATACTTATGTTTTAATAATCCTCGACTGCACTGAATTACCCTTCTAATCGATGCATGAGACGAGAAGTGAAAAACTTTTTAATCGATATTTAAATTATGTTTAAATGACAAAAGTGTGAAGAAGAAAGAAAAAGAAATATCAGACGAAGCAATTTACTTTGAAATAGAAAATTTTCTGTAGCTTCTGATTCGAATAATTTACAGAAGTTTCAGGGATTAAAATACTCGTAATTATAATGTTTCCTTCTAATAAGATAATTTTTAAGGTACGTTCTCACGGCAATCCTTCCCCCCGTAATTCTGTGGCTTTTGTCGTATGGATTCATATCCCTTAACGATTGTAAAGAAGAAAAGAGAAAGAACAAACTTAAAACGAACACGTACGAGTACTTCCTTCTTTCCGCGTTTTAAATTAAGTTCTCGTTGCCGTGAATGGTGAAAAGACAAACGATTCAACATCGTGAATGAATTGCATCGGAATCGATCCTTACCTCGCGATCATACCAAAGGAAATGTTCTATAATCGAACGAAGTGCGTTATCGAGTGCCGTCTGTAAAACAGGAACAATTCGTTACTCTAGATTGTATATTTCGGAGAGTGCAATTAAATCGTTTAAGGAATTAGGGCACGAGTCACAGTGTTGCGCTTGTGAACTACAAAACTGCGATACGGCCTTGCTCCGCGAAATAAAAAGCGACTATCGTTTAAACATGTTCGTTGAAACGATTCGAACATATACGCAAGAGGGCCACATTTAGAGAGAATAAAACGTTTATTTGGTTTATTATCACAATTTGCATTGAAACAATCATCTAATTCCAATTATCTCGTTCACAAGACCAACCATCAGCCTTCATTACGAAAACTCATATAGACTTGTACAAGTGCTCCGTGAATTCAGCTATTGCACTTTTTCTACATTGTACATTTCGATCGATAGAAACTGTAATGTATCAAGGATAGGCACGTGATATGGAACCATTTCTTATAGACCGTGCTCTCGAGAAAACGTTTTCGGCACTGCTACGTTCTTTGTCGCGCACTAGTATATAAGATTAATCGTTTTGGTGCAATATTTAGGGTAGAACGTAGATACCCTCCTTTGATTTTAATCTATTCGTTGTAAAAATTGTTTTACATATTTCCCCAAATAAAATGACATGTCGTTTATAAGATTGGAAAAAGTTTCACCCGGATTCGTCATAGCGTAAAGCACATTACGACACCGAAGACAATTCTGCTTGCATTCTTCTGTATCTTTCTGCCTCTTCTTTGCTAACCGAAAGATTCAATTCTCGTGTGGCTTTTAAGAAATCCTCCAACTCTACCGCAATGTATTCGTCTAATTTCACTTCGTTAGAACCGTCGTTGTAATTGTCCAAAACTCTACGCGCAGCGTTTAACCATGCATTAGAACAAACAGAGTACAAATCAGCACCGGTCGTGTGATCGGGTAATTGATCTATCAGCTTTTCCAATTCATCACCGTTTTCGCTGAACGTGAATTTACGAGTCAGTGCCTTTAACACGTTAAGCTGCGATTCACGATCAGAATGAATTCCAACGTATAATAATTTATCGAATCGACCAGGTCTAAGGAGAGCAGGATCTATGAGATCAGGCCTGTTCGTGGCTCCTATAATGAATATACTGTTAGAACAGTCGAGGCCATCCATTTCAGCGAGCAATTGGGATACCACGCGGTCCATAACACCTCCACTGTCGCCACTTCGTCCACGATTAGGTGCCAACGAATCCAGCTCGTCGAAAAATATTATACACGGTGCTGCGGCTCTTGCTCGTTCGAATACTATGTAAAGATATTGAATTTTTTAATTCTTAAGGTATCTGATATATTCACACGTGTATTCACGAGCTTACCTTGCCTAACATTTTTTTCACTTTGACCAACGTACATATTCAACACTTCAGGACCCTTAACAGATAAAAAGTGAAGTTGATACTCTGTCGCTACAGCCTTAGCGAGAAGTGTCTTTCCAGTTCCAGGTGGTCCGTACAAAAGTAACCCAGACTGACCAAATCCTAGAGCGTTCATCAATGGTAACTGGATTCGACGCATTATCTCATGTTTTAAATTCGCCAAGCCGCCTATATCTTCCCAAAAAACTTTTGGTACACGCGGTGCTCCCTTGCAGTCTGTATAAATCGACTGCATGTATTCTGTAAATGAAATTAAAGGGATTAAAAATTATAGTACGAGTAATAATCGTTGTTACAGTATTGCGATATTACCATAAGCTTGGTCAAAATCTTCTTGAGAAAGTGTTAAGGGCTTTAGGTCGGAAACGTTATTTTTGCAGTGAAATTTTATGGCGTGCAATATAAGCGCCGATAAGTCTGAATACCTGAAGTCCGAACACATTCCAGACAGCTTCGATAAGTTTACTTGATAATCAAGATTTCGCTTTGCGAGTAACCACGAAATTAAATCTGATCTTTCGTTCTGATCTAGATGTTCCATTTGAATTGTTTCAAGAAAAATTCTGTTTAATTCTGCTGGTATTTCCGATTCACTTGTGGTAGCTACTATAATAACTGGATATTTCAAACGTTTATTGTACAATGAATTTATTTCGTTTGCAAAGGTTGATATAATTCTTTCATCTTTCTGGCCTTCAGAATTTTTCCCAAATACTTCTATGTTATTTAAACAAAGAATACATGGTACAGATTGTTCAGCATTGTGCAATACAATACGTAGTTTAGCCTCTGTCTGTGCTGATGTTAATGCTTGAACTTCAGCAAAATCTGCATTGAGAAAATTTAAGCCTATTTTTTCAGCCACAATTTGAACTAATTTGCGTTTATTTGAACCCTGTGACCCCTTGATAAGGAACATTGGTTTTATGGGCAATTGAGTATCTGTAAAAAATGTAAAATACTAAATACCAAGTACTTATTAGTTTAGATGGAATTAGGTATTTAAGAAAAAATTCTTACCACATTTAATGAATGGTAAAATGCAATGTTCTAAATAGTCCAGAGGTGCTGCTAAATTTGGTGGATATGACTCTACATACTTTTCTTTGGTTTGATCACAATGAAAATATTTTTGAGGTAGATAACTATGTATATTTGGTTCTAGAATAAGTGATGTTTCTCCACGTAAAATATAAGAACTATTACTAACTATGCATTCTTTATTATCGTCAACTATAATAGAGTTAACTTTAAAATATATCACAGACATTAAAGGATTGGTATGTAAATACATTTGATCCAATATATGTTCTTTTATATCAATGCCAAATAAATCACTTTTATTTAAAAATTTAGGTTCAGAAAAATAGTTCTCTAACAGAGCATTTATTAAACTATCTGAACTCTCATATGGATTAGAAATCATAGAAACTTTAATCTCTTTAGCAAAGTTGATAGTGTCATTTGCTGAAACTGAAAAAATTCACAAATTTATTGTTAGGAAAAATTTGTTTCTTAAAATTATTTTTTTATACTTACATAAAAAACATTTATCAACAGCACAACCCAATGCATTCTCTATATTATATTTCATAGTTTCTGATACAAATAATTCATTTGCATTAGTATTGTTTACAGGTACAACTAATACTTTGTACTTTTTCCAAAAATTTGTAGAGCATACATAGAACCAAGTTGGTGTAGTTGTATTAAAACATTTTGTATTTGTCAGTAAACAAGAATTACAATCTATGTAATAGTTTTCTTCATTATAAAATTGTTTTACTAAATTCCTTAAAGCAGTATCAGATAGAATATTAGACTTAAGTTTTGTATCAATTAATGTTTTCCACCTCAAAAGTACATAACGTATAAAGGCATAATATAATAAATAATTGACATTATATTTCATTAACATTCTTGTTAGTTTTCGTAAAAAATTAATATAAACGTATAAAGAATTCATGTTGCATTCATATTTCTATGAAGTCGTTTAATTTGAAACAAAATTCACATGCTGAAAGGCGAAAATAAAAAATTTTGTAAGATGATGACGAGGATTGAAGTTATTTAATGGTAACACTTGCGGTATGAAAATATAGTAAATTTCATATCATCTTGTATGTAATATAGAAAAATATGTATTTTAAATAACAGGCATCAATGAATAAAAGTTTTAACAAAACCTTCACGAGCGTTTTATAAATTCTTGTAACAATCATAAAAAGTAAAAGAAAATTAATATCATTGGCGTACCAATTTTGGACCAATCTGCCAAGTTACTATAGAAACAGTAGCGAAGTGGAGGTTCAAGCTCGGAAGATCATGCGAAGTCCCTCTGTAACAGCTGTCCTATTGGTAATTTTCAATAGGGATTTGCGTGAAAACTGTATTAAGCACGGTGAATCTTTCGTCAGATCAGTTCTCGATTCTCTCGTATAGCTGATTGAATTAAAATTCGTGGTCAGCGAAACGTAACTCTTGCATCATTTGAAGTACAGCGTAGCAGAAGACAGTGAAAAACCGTTGGTGGCCGTAGCCGTTAAGTGGAAAACTAACCTAACCTAGACTGATAGCGTCCTTATTGGAGTTATCAAGACTAGATTTATTCAAATTTGAAGGTCCACCTCTATTCAAAGAATATTATGCAAAGTTTTGGTACGTGTGAAAGGTTAAGTGTTTCCTGCAAATACTTTGCATTCATTTCACTCTACTATTTAGCAGCTCGAATGATTGTTTGCATTCCTTTTAACTGCATACACCTTGAAGTACTTGTGAATTTGAGTTCTCTTCGATTTTTGTGCATCATTACAGGCTACAAAGAATCATAATTACTAGCGTGTTATATTATGACACATTAAGTGACAAGTCATTTAAATTTTAGCATGTAGTTTCTTTCTACTCATTTTCGAGTACAAGTTTTAAATACCTACATAACAGACATTTAAAAAGTAGTTTTATCAACTGTTTATTATTTGAATATTCTTTTTTTTTTTAGAATATAAAGTGGTTTGATTAAAAAAGTGTAAAATTAAGAATGGATCCTGCAACAGTTATAGCTCTTTGCAAGGAAAATATTCAGCCATTACGTTATGGACGAAATGCTGCACAGTTAGGAACTGCATTGAGAGCACAAGAAGATGCAGATGCTCAACAATTACTTTTGCAAGAAAAACAGTGGGTTCAACAGCAATTAATACTGTTACTATAATAATTTTATTAAAAATTTGTACAAAGAAGTTTTTGAACATAATATATTGTAAAATAACAAATTCTGTAGTGTTCTTTTCTTTTCAGAATGTATGAAGATGCGATAAGAAATTATGAAGGAGATGATCCTTTAGAAAGTTGGTATGAATACATTATTTGGGTGGAGCAAAGTTATCCAAAGAGTGGCCATGAGTCACATATTGGCAAACTTTTGCAACAATGTTTAGCTATGTTTGAAAAAGAGACCAAGTATCATCAAGATCGTAGATATATACGTCTTTGGATTAATTATGTAAGGAATTGTAAATAGGTTTTATATCAAGAAAAATGCACTGTTCTGTGTCTTATAGTACAAACATTTACTTACAGATAAGTATGCAGAAAAATCCATTAGAATTGTACCAACTTTTACATAACAATGGAATTGGGACTATGGTTGCAGATATGTACAGAGCATGGGCTTTTGAATTAGAACAAGTAGAAGATTATAAACGTGCTGATGAAGTTTATTTAATGGGCTTATCTGCTTTAGCAGAACCACAAGATGAATTGGATTATGCTCACAAGTATCAATCTTTAAAATATACCTATATTAAAGAAACTATTAATGACATGTGCTTTATCTAATTATCAATTCTATTTGTAGGAATTTTCAACTTGCAGTCGCACGTAAAACATTAGGACGTACGGACGATCGTAACGAAATCTCACTGCTTGAACAACGTCAGGCTTTTAGTTCGCTAAAGGCAATAAAATCTGGTAAAAGAGTTAGCAGTGTACGTACTGGACATCGAGTACGTGAACACTTTCCCGGCATCGTCCCACAAATTTCTTCAACAATGCACAATACTAGACCAAATCCCAGAATACAAATATATCAGGTATACGAACATTTAATAAAATATTTACGATAAAAAATGAGCACGATAACAGATATACCTTTAAATATTTTAACAGGATGATCTGGCAGGTGACATGAAAAGTTCAAGCATACTAGACCATGTACCAGTAGAGGATACAGTACATAAAGAAAATACTATAAAACCTGGTCCATGGAGTAGTGCAAATAAACGATGTCCATTGATATCATCTGCTACGAAATCAACGTTCAAAGGTACAATTATATTTACAATAAAACATTATTTATGCTGATACATGAGATGAATTATTTATATTATTATTATTGATTGCATCACAGTTCACGAAGATCAACCGGAAGACTTTGATGTAGAAAAGCTAAGATTATTTCCAAATCATACATATTTTTTTGATGGTAGCAAATGTTTAAAGCATTTAATAGTGCCTGTGTTTGTACCGGATCTTCCAGATTCAAATATCATATTAAAGCCACATTATCCCAAAGAATTAGTTTATGCTAATGATATGGATCAAAGTATGGAAGAATTAAGAGCCCAACTGTATTTACAAAGGTAACGTATCGTTGCTAATAGTTGAAGTGATAAAAATCTTTTGGATAAATTATGATCGAAGTTTTAAACTGCAGAACACAAACATTAGAGAAAGAACTTAATGTACCAGATATAAGAGAGACTGACCACCAAGTTCAGCATAAAAGTTTTGAACTTGAGCATCAGAGGCACGAAATATCTTTACAAGAATTACAAAGACAGAGGCAACAGTTTGAACAGCAAGAGTTAACAGAAAGGCAGAGGAAAATGGAGCGGCTTCGCAGGGAAGCTGAACAACTTGAATTGAATAGACAGAGACTTCAAGCTGAACAAGAGCTTCAACGACAGCAATATGAAGCCGAAAACCAAGCTTTAGAATCCCAAAGACGCGAAGCAGAACAACGTGAGTTGGAAAGATTAGAAGCGGAAAGAATCGAGGCTGAAAGAATCGAAGCAGAGAGACTCGAAGCACAGAGAATGGAAGCAGAATTAAATTCGCAACGAAAATTACAAACTTCTAGTTTTATTCATCAACACCATACACCGTCGTTAAATACCGACCCCGAAGAACATTTACTTGGACAAAGCCTTACGGTTAATACAAAAGAAGCGATGTCAGTCGTGCAAGACATGTGGCGTTCTCCCGATACAGTACCTACTACGCCCAATTTTCGTACTCCCATGACACCTAGGATTCCAGATGCTAAAATAAAATTATCTTTCGACATACATATGGATAGTTCAATGACGCAGCATGTAATGTCAAATAGTAAACATCATTCGGGATACAGTGTGCAACCGTACAATGATCAAGAAAACCATCAAAATTATTCTGCTCACCAAAGTTATTCTAATCAAGAACATCAGACTTCTTATGGCACCTCTGGATTACATAACACATACCAGTATCAAATACAGGTATAGTACAAAAAAACATACATGAAGGAAGCTTTCTTCATGTAAGAAATTTTTATACTAATTTTCTAAATAATTGATTACAGCAACATCACGAGCAACAAGTGCAGCAATCTCATCCCCGACCACATCATTCGCAACATCATCAACAGTTAATGCAAACACATCAACAGACACACGTGATTTCTCACCATCATACTCTCTCGCATGCACCACATTTGCAGCCTCATAGCCAAATTCAGCATCATCACCAATCTCCTCACCCTCAACAACATCAACCGTCACATAATCAACACCTCCATCATCAACCACATCAACCACATCAACCACATCAATCACATCAACCACATCAGCCACATCAAGCACATCAACATATTCCGCACATGCAGCATCCCGTTTATGGCAATATGATGCCGAACGATATTACTTATCAGCAGTACCCTTCGCAGCTGGAATCCACATTGCTACAGCAAAATGTAGAACCTCAAAAACAACTTCACTATCCTCCATATAATGAGCCAGATATCGAAACTAGCAAACCGTACAGAATGCCACCTGAGTTACCGTATATAAAGTCTCCGAGAATGAATCGTAGAGAGATCAAGTATCTTGAAAGTACAGAAGATAAGGAGAACGCTATTGTAGTTGATTATAATGGACCAATGGAAGAAAATATGACTACGCCAAAGCCACCTGATGAGAATAATTTATATATTGACGAAAGTCTTGGTATTGCTCCGCTGGCAGGAAATAATGATTCTTGTTTCACGGAAGCATTTAATACACAATTACCTAGTTCTACGCCTATGATTAATCATTTTAGACAATCTTACAAAGTAGCAGAAGGAACTTCACAATATCCAAATCAGTGTCCAATACCTCAACCGTACGTATGGTATTAATCACGTAATTAATCATCAATACGAGTATTCTGTACATCTTTAACGTTATATTTACAGCACTTCAGAGGCACCTAATGGCGAAGTTGAGGACAAATTGAGTGTTATATTAGAAACAACTAGAGAATACATTTCGAGCAGTTCGAATAGCAGTTCTACACATGCAAGAAATACCGCATTGGGCTTTACATTAACAAAGGAAGATCTGGTTCCTATAAAAGAACAATCTATTAGTAGAGGTAATTTAATAAAATATGTTAAAAATTTGTGTTTCTAATAACATTTCTTGCACATAAAGAAAGATTTTCTCTTCAACAAGATGGAGAAGACGAAAGTAATGATGTTACACTTTCTGCAAATCAACTTTATGAGCAAAAGCTTCATGCCCAAATTCAAGCTGTGCATGCTCAAAGTCCACGTACAGTACAACGCAACGTGGATCAAATCACTTCTGAAATTAAGAAGAATTGCGATCTACGAAAATCGATTAACTTTAAACTTAACGAAATAGAGCAACAAGAGAAAGTTGATTCGATGGAGTGTGAAGAGCATCATGAACCGATGGAAGAAGCGGAAGAAGAAAGTTTCCAATTACCTTCAGGAGACATAAATCCTTTCGATAGAAATTTGATAGCTGGTCTTTTAAAGAAACTTAAATTTCCCCAGCCGCATCACGCAGAGGGATATGTGAGATTAAATACTAATTTAAATAAGCTTGTGCCTTCTACTACAAATACGCTTGGTCAGTGTATTTTCGATGCAGAAAAATATTATAGGGGCAATTCGTTTCATGTCCTCTCCAGTACTTATTACTTTTATTTGTTTCACATGTCTAGGTACTGAAGCGTACGATTTGGGACAGTGCCTTGGAAGAGGAACGTACGGTACAGTATTCAAAGCAGTGAACCTGAAAACAGGTCAAACAGTTGCTCTGAAAACTCAAAAGCCTGCTTGGGTTTGGGAGTATTATATCACTAGGGAAATAAAGAATCGTCTAACTAATCCACATATGGTAAAGTATTACTATTATGTCCGCAAATAAAATGTTAATTACTTCACTATTTTTAAGGTATTAATATATTCTTTTCAGTTGCGCGGATTTATGGATGTCGAGACAGCATATGTTGCAAATAACAGTAGCGTATTAGTTTCGGAATATTCCAGATATGGAACATTATTAGCGGTAATGAATCGAATAAAGCTTGCCACGGGTAAACATTTGACAGAGCACTTAGTTATATTCTTCACGATTGAAATATTGCAAATTGTGGAGTACTTACATAAATGCCAAATAATCCATGGGGATATTAAACCAGACAATTTTCTCCTAATGCGTTTGTATGTGTTTTAAAATTGAATTTAGCATTTTTAAATTGAATTAAATCGATTATATTACATTTATACATATAATAATTTATAGACCTACGGAAGATGTTAGGCCAACGATACAGCTAATAGATTTCGGGTGTAGTATAGATATGAGTCTTTTGCCGGAAAATACGACGTTTACTAAAGTCATAAAAACGGAAGATTTTACGTGCATTGAAATGCAAACTGGGAAACCATGGACGTATCAGACTGATTTGTACTGTTTAGCTGCGACATGTCACTGTTTGTTATTTGGTAATTATATGAGAGTTGTGAATATTGGTGGTCGCTGGTTTATCACATCCAAAATACCAAGGTATTTATGATTGAACGAAAGTACTTTTTATTATGTAAAATTGTAGAGAAACATGCACTATTCCCTTAAAATTCATTGAAAATATACAGGTATGCCAAAAAAGCCGCTTGGGAGCAATTCTTCACAAAATTATTAAACATTGAATCTTGCGATAAAATGCCAGATTTATCTAAGTTGCGCAACATAATGGAAGAAACATTAGCGCAGATGACGGATGCGCATCAGAAATTTAGAAATTTTGTGAATATTTTAAACAAACGATAACACTTACTAAATATACTGTATCAAATGTTGTGTCCCGATGTGTGCACATATTTAGTAAAGAACCAACATTTATTAAGAAAAATTAATGTTACTATGCTATTTATTATAAAAGTTAATACTACGGTCATATATGTAATACACGGTTAATTATACATGAAATGCACTTTATGGCCTGCTTCGTGGAGGCTTTAATGAACTATATTGCTTGCACATAATCAATTACATTAGAAGTACTAAATATTTGATTCGATTAAAGGAAAAAAGGGAAAAGAAAAAACAAAAAGAAAACTTTTCCAACTAATGTGACTGACATTTTATGCGCCATAAGTTATAAAAATGTCTTTCAAGATACCTCGTGACGCAGTACCTGGATGTTAGCATCTGTCACGTAAATTATGTAAAGGCAGATTGTATAATAAAGTTGAGTAAAAACAGAACTTTGAAAAAAGAAAAAGAATATGTAAAAAAAATATTTATAAAACAATGCGTGTGTGATAAATACGGGTTGTTTACCTATAATGTTTTATAATTACAAGCGAAAAAAATTTGTGTACTAGCATATTATCAAGTACACCATACAAGCTTGCATACTTTACCTAGATAATATGTATGTGTAGTGTTTATATCGTATATATACAACAAAATAAAGTTTTGTTCTATAGATATTAAATTTCTTGCACGCATGCATTTTAATATAATTGTATTTAAAAACTTGAATTGCTCTCGCATGTTCTGTAAAAAAAAATATATATATATTTATGCTGATAATTGATTTTGATGCTGATATTTTGCTTTATTTTAAATATTTTTTATGACTAACTTGGAACAAAATATGCAAGCTATGTGTAGGAAGAACATGAACAATGATATTGAAAAAGTTTGACATAATATGTAAGCAACTTTATACAAAAATCATATTGATTGTGCGATTTTATATTTTATTTTAATCAATCTTTTACTTTGAATGTGCAGGCTTATTTGCCAATATCCACTAAACAGGCCTTTATGTAGTATATTTTATAAAATAGAATTTATTGTATCTAATACACATATGATAGAAATTTTAAGTTTGTGTTCAAACGATTCGACTTTAGATTTTATAAAATGCACAAGAACACTAGGTTGTCTAATATTTAAATGATAATATAAATTATATGTATAGCATTAAAAAACATATTAATAATAATGGACAGCCTATTGTTCTCATTTAGAAATTTCTGAGAATATGCCTTATCTTATTTTGACGGTGCAACGTAAAAATATTTAGATTCATATGAAATATATACAATTATTCAATACATCCCTTATAAAAAAAAGGAAAAAAAAATTACGAGTGGTACATCGCTGGAATTAGATTTAGTTATACAAATAAATTGAGAATGAGTATTATCTCAGTAGTAGGCAATATTTACTACCATTAGTTTACTTATTTTTATAAAAGTTAAAAAATATATTTCTCTTCTAAAATTTCTAATCATATTTAAAAGCTTTTGTTCTATAGACTTCATCATGTATTACTGTTAAATATATCTCGCAACATGAACGGTGAAATTAAAGGCACTTAAATCATCGCAGGCCAGTTATACGCTGTACGTAAATTTGTAAGATTTCGTAAAAGTTTATCTTGTTCCACCATATCGTTCGACGGCAATATTGCATACATACATACAAAAGAAATCTTGTATTAAAAAATCTTAAGTTCTTACAACTATAATTATTTACAAAAATTAATCGTATTTTAACAATAATTGTACGGCATCTGCGAACTGTGTAAATCGAATTTAGTAGTTTCACAAGCTATCGAAAATTTGAAGCCCAATATGTCCTTGTTTAAGAAAACTCATAATTATAATAGAACATTGCACAAGTGCATAATCATCATATTGATAAATAATACATTCAACTCTCTTTTTTTCAAGTTTTACCATAAAATTTTCGATTTAATAAATATAACAACAAATTCACGTTAACTTTTGCTTTACCAAACATATCCATAATCGGTGCACCTTCGAACTGTAACTCGAGTAACTTCTGTATATCGATGTCTACCTTCTCCATTTCTACTCCCATAAACTTACAACGTACGCTAAAGAGACCTGTATGTTCTGTTGGACTTATTTCGAAGATCACATTCTTAAACTGCGATTGTGGAAGTCCATCGACTTCTAACAATACCCCTTTCTCTTGTAGTTTGGCCGCGGAATATTTCAGTGTCATTTTAGATCTTAGTTTGCCATGATTATTCTTTTGGATAGCTTTAAATGCTCGCAAAGAACTGCAAATAATTTGTATGTATTAGAATTATGAAATGTAAAATTAAAAGAAGTTATATACATACCCCTTTCCTGTGTGTAAGTTTTCCAAACAACGTTGTATATACTCATTGTAATATTCTACCTGTTCTTGATAATATTTCGATTTTTCTTCTAATCTCTGTTTAGTTACACGTAAAGTCTGTAATTCTTTATTTCGAATAATTCGATACTTTCCTTTATTAGAAAGATCTTTAGCTACTGCTGTTATAATATTTTGATATCCATCCGATTGACTGACCCACCCTCCAAGTTCGAGTTTATTGAGGTAGGCTCGCAATTGAAGCTTACAATCATTTAAGGATGAACTGAAAATAAATTTTTGTTTCTTCTTCATTTGTTTAATGACTTTTTAAAGTTTATTTCATTATAATACCTCTTATGAATAACATTTAATGTGGGCGATATGTTGGAGCATTTTACGTCGTACAGTTTTTCTTGTATAGGAGAACAAGTGGTTTCCAAAGCCTCCACTAATGTTTGACCTTTCAAGAACTGAAGCACCGAAACTAATAATTCTTTCGTTTTTATAAAGAGTTTATTTAAACTAGCACCTTCATCTTCTGGTACTTGAAATTTATTAGTGAGTACCAGACACACTTCTGTTTTTCCAAAGCGCGTTAAATTTGCCTCACATGTGGTATCAGCTAATAAATAATTGTAATATTACATTCTGTCAATCAATAAATAATGTGACGATAAATTATTCCTTACAAATTCCGAGTAAAGATGCAACTGACGGTGCAGGACCTAAATCATCTAATAAATCATGCAAAGGATCCATAGGATCTGGCGCTATTTGATCTTGATATTCTAGCATGAGACAATGAGTGTCACAAATTTCCTGTAATTGATAGAATTAGAAACTTTTCATTACTATTCGCTTACATACGGTTTTCAAAGTTTCGCTTACTTGTAGTGAAATATAAATCTCAGGTTTCTGAATAAGGGTGGCTTCCGTATATTCGTGGATACTAAAATGTTCTTCCAAGTCTTCGATTTGACAACAATAACGGAAGAAACTTTTGAATTTTTCGTGACATTCGATTATAAATGAATTCAAGCATACTAGATGAGTGGCCTCTTCACCAAACTAAACAATTTTTCGTTTTGAATTTTTTTTGTTTTTAAATATTACAATTATTGAAGTGAACATAATTACCCCTTTTTTGGAAGCAGCAAATTGCAATATTTTTGCGATACTAGCTAAATTTCTTCGTTGATCATTTGATAGAGATCTATCGATTGGTAACGTGATTATATCGAAAGCATCTGGCGCTACGATAGCAGCGTTAATAAAATGATAATAAATTAAATTTCCTACTACTTTTAAAATATCTTTTTCTGGAGCACTCGGAAATTTTTCAATTAAGGAATCATTTAAAATTTTAGCTATGTATAACATTCCATATGGTATTAAATCCCGAGATTCAGTTATCGTAGTTAGAAATTCTAAAACAGTACTCTGCAATAGTTGGATTCCTTTATTTAATCTGATTTGCACTTGTTCATAATTTAAAGCTTGTTGCTGCGTCACCGTATATGGTAAATCTCTGTTGAGAAAAAAATTGTAAAAAAGTATTACTTTGTATATTCGTTTTAAACTTACAATGTTTCTCCTGTTTCCATTTCTAATTGATTTCTCCAGCATTTATAAATATCAACGGGATTTGTTTCTATGCTTAATGTTCGATCAGCTAAAATTTTTTCGATGAGTGGTCCAACAATTTGCCTTAAAGCCCGTTGCCCGTTTAACTGTCGTGCATAATTTACTACCATTTTCAAAACAAGAGGATTTCCAGTAACAACTTCAGATGGCTTTTGAAATTTACACCTAAATATTAAATTATATTACTCACAATGTATTTGATTTTATCGTCTTTTTATACAGGGATAATTATACCTGATTTCTTCTTGTAATGCACTTCCAAACAGTTTTAATAATAAGTATTCTTCCCTGATATTAGAGCCGAAATTAAATAATGTTAAAATCACGTTTTGAAGGAATTTGTTCGTTTTACTTTGAGGCAAGAGGAATAAAAGTTTTGACAAGTATGTTGGATTAGTTTGCAATGCATAAAATAAATGCTGATATCCTTCCAACATTTTTCGACCTTCTTTCGTTAACGATTTCAAACCTTTATGTGAAATAATGCCATCTGATATAGATTGCCTTTGGTCTCTATTGGAATGTTTCTGTTTTGCAAGTGTTTCTAGGCTCTTTCCATGTGCTACAACATCCTATAAATTTTTTATTTAGGAAAATTTTTAACAAAATACAGACCTAATATAATTCTTTTATTTTAAACATTACTTGTAATGTAATTCGATTTTGTATAAGCAACCCGATCTTTATATCCATGCTATCCAATTGTTGTGACAAAGTTTGATTATGCCGTATGCTTTGCACCACCTCGTGTTTTAAGTGCTATAACAATAAATTCATGACAAAAATCGAATGCTTTCGATTTCGAATCGAATCGATCATTTAAATATTCAAAATTTCTCATACTTGTAATTGTAAATCCTTGTCATAATCTTCCGCATTAAAATTTAAAATTGCGGAAAAATGGCGAACAACAGAAAATGGTGGTTTTTCCATATGTAACAATGAACGAAAAGCACGTTTTTCGGCGCGACCACGCCAGAAAGCTTGTATTTTCATAATTTTTCCCTCCTGAAATAGATAAAAAATATAACACATTAAATAATATAACTTATACATCAATAGATCATAAATCAATCTCAAATGAAAAGGACATTACTTACATGTTCTCTATAATAATCCAATAAATTTGCATATTTGGTTTTAACTCTTAAATATTTATTGTAAGATTCATCTGAATTACATTTCCGCCTCTCTTCTAGTAATTTGACATATCGTTTACGTTGTACTATACTTTTCCACCATGCTTGTATTTGAATAATTTTATCCATATTGTCGTAAAAATTTGTATACCTATCCGAAACTCTTTTTCGTAATAAGTATCCTCGAATTATAGCTTGCAATCGAATTATTTGTTTAATAATTTTATGCTCTTCGTGTTCTCTTATGGAGTTACTTTTTATTACACCCTAAAAATAATAAATATATTTATCTTTTAAGATTTCTTTAGTTTAGTCAGCTAATATTCTTTAGTTACACGTTACTTTTATGTCTTCCATGCTGATATAAAATGTTTCAGATATATGTTTAGGACAGTCCCAAGTATAATTATATTTACGTAAATCTAAATAGGATTCATTGCCTTTAGGGGTAATATAATGAACAAACGCACAATCGTACTTTTCATTCTGAAATACAACAAGGATTACTGAATTAAATTAAGTACACTATTAATTCATAATTTAATACAAAATTATACCTTTATATTTTTTAAATTGTGCAAACTTCGAAAACAATCAGCCTTATGTTTGTCTGGTATTTTAAAACCAAATGCTTGAAGGCAATCCATTGTGAATACAGTATCATTTCGTTGTAATCCTAAATTAACTTGTGATAAAAACGTACACACTATAAAAAAACAAATCTTATTATTGAAATACCACGTATTTCATAAAAACTGAAAAAGATATACGCGCGTTATACCCTTTTGAACACTTTCAGCTTCCGTAGCTACAATTTTCGTTACAGTTTCTACATCTTCCAACCATAATTCAGAACCATCAAAATGTTTTTCAGCAAGACATTTTTTAAATAATTTCAAATAAAGGGATGCATCTTCTGGTGAAGTAGGTTTTTGTAATTTCAAAGAAGTGTTTTTCAAAGCAGTGATAACACCATTTCGGTCGTTTTCAACGACAGCTAAGTTTAATTGACGTAGCACTTGTATGACTGTGTAAAAGAGATGAGCATATCAAAAACGTATGATACCATCTGTATGAAACTTAAATGGATGTCATATATATACCATCATCATCATTTTGACATTGTTGATTCACAACGTCGATGCATTCTTGAATATCAATGTATGTTAGTAATGGACATTCTTCAGCAATTGCCTGCTTTTCACATCGAACTGCTCCCAATGCTCTATAATACTTTACTTTATTCTCCTGATCTAATCCCTAATGAAGTGAATAAAAGTAACGTCTTACTAGATTTACGATATCCTTAGAGAGTAATTAAACTCACAGAAATATGACAATCTGGGTTAGACAATGCTTGATAAACCAAATCTGGATTTCCCGTGTCTACAGTTTTACTGATTTCTGCGATTAGTGACAATACGCGTATGCTGACCACGATATCGCTGTACGAAAGGTCATTCTATTAAGAATATCGTTTATATTAATGAAAATTTATATTATTACAACACGTGTTATAACTTTATCTTTTTATATTCCATTTTTACCTGAGATTCAACACGATCGACTTTCATTTCTTCGTAATATAATGGTATTGCAAAGTCATCAATTTTCTGTGTTAAACCAAGATTAGAACTTTTTAAAGTTTTACAAAAGTCATTTCGTGCTTCATTTTGTAATGTTAAGTTTAGAAGCTTTATAGTGTCATCACCTAAATAAAAAAAAACATTTACTAATTAAATTTAATTAAATAAATTTTGCTTCATAATACTAACGTTTTTGAGATTTAAGTGCAATTTCATTTGCCTTATCAATTTCCTTTTGAAGCAGTTGTTTCCAATGATGATGATGATTGCTTTCTGCATATATACTGTTCCATTCAGAACTTTCCAATAATTGCGTTAATTGTTCTTTGTATAATTGCGCATTTTCAAGCAATACATTCTAATAAAAAAATTATATTTATAAGTAGTAGAATAACAAAGAAATGAATAAAAATGATGATATAAAGTATATACCTGTAAGCACACAGTGGACGTTTTTAATGCACCTATGAATTCACTATTTTTACTATGGATAGACTGGCTTATATTTCCCATAGCACAGTTAACTAAAAACACAGCACATAATTGATAAAAAATGCATAATTATAAAATATTCCTGTTGTAAAGTATTAATGCTGAAACTCACCATTAACATAATTAATATGACCCTGAATTTCTGCCTGAGTTAATAGTTCATCATAAACATCTGGTACATAACTATCATTAAGAGACTGTTAAAATTGCATTAATGAGTGATGATTATCTATATACATGACATATGTTTAGAAAAAATTTATTGCTTACTCTATTAAGTGCAGCTTGTGCTTTAGATTCTTTTGCTTCAAACAAGGCATCACTATATTTTTTAATATAACAAGGTATAATATTGTTTAACAGTACTACTTTATTTTGAAGTGCAGATAATATTTTGTCATGATTCTTTAAAGAAAATAATTACAATTAATTATATAAATTATTATTCAATGATACTATATAAATATAAGTAACATCCATACCTTTTCTGCAATAGCTTTATTAATTGCTATAACTGCAGCATGAAGTGTTGCTGTATCTATCTCCATGCTATTTGCTAACAAACCACCAATTTTTTGGAATGAAGGCATTTGAATTCCATACTTTTTCAATTCTCTACTAACAGCATTTATTTCCTCCTCTAAAAAAGATAAAGAATTATGATACTAATGTGAGCAATCTCATGAATATGTATTTTTATATATTGTAATATAATCACGCAAGTACCAGTAAAATTCACTTTTCCATATAAATCCTGAATTTGTGGAGCTTTTCCCAATTTAAACAAATGAGTGCTCAGAGCATGAATACAATATATTACACGAGGCATATTTTTTTTATCATAGATATCTGTTGTTTCTGGTTGAAAAGTCTGTTAAAAAATTGTTCTTATTACTATTAACTGCCTTTTTTAAACTTAAATACTATTTTTATTCATATATATATATATATAGCAAACATACTAATGGTAATTGCATAGATTTCAAGGATTTTAAAAAGTAATTAATATTGTCTGTGTGTCTAAATTGTAAGCCAACTACTGCATAACGTTTTTGTTCAGAATCATAAATTTTATTGAGAGGTAGAGATTCAGGTGCCATAAAGTGAGCTAGTTTTGCTAGATATACTCCATTTCTCAAATTCTCTTCTAACTCAGTTGTAGGTGGAAGTATTTCTCTCAGACATGCTTCCAGCCATCTATAAAATTCAAAAACTGTAGAATCTTATAAGTAAGTATGATAATAGTCTGTGAAAACTTTCTCAAAGTATTTACTTTTTGGCTTCTTCTAAGTGACACAGATACTCATAAGCAAGTGTCTTTTGACGTTGCTCATCCATTTCCTCAGCTGATTTACGAATATCATTTCCTGTAAAACTTTGCTTTCTAAATAAAGTATAAAAATCTATGTGGGGTGTATGTTCACTATAACATTACTTCAACATAATAATTACTTCAACATCCATTTTCATATGTTATCAAACTTTCAATTTGACATTTATATTAGACATTTATATTGAGAATTTATAGTAGAATTAAATATCAAAATTGATCGTTAATCTTACCTCTTTCATGATTAATTAATTTGTCATCTGTATCATTCATATTAGGGAACAAGAAAATACAATTAACGAACAAAAAAGTGAGAATAATAGACGACAATGGAGTAGTACGTTAAGTTCCATGAGTTTAAACTTGTTTAAATTCGCAACTATAGTGCAACACTGACCAGTCGTACCAATCGAAATGTACCGCGATCTTGAATACTATTGGACAGTAAATAGTTGCACATATTTTATTAACGCCTTTTATCATATAAGGAAAAAGCACTAGCAACTAATTTCATACTTCTTCTGCACGTCAAAACCCGCGTTGTGCGTGCAAGGGGTCATCTCTAAATGTAACATAAATAGTACAAAAAAAAATTGCATAATGTTAAATATTTTTTGTACATGCGAAGATTCTCTTTTGCAATATAAATTCTACCAATGATTGTATTGCAAGCGCCACGGTTTTTTTGACGTTTTGTCACTTTTCCGTAAAACATTGTTAAACTTAACAACAGTTAGGTTTTTAATCATTTTTTAATTACCCTAACACCTATACAACGCTACACAAAAGCACTTGCACCATGTACAAAGGAACAAATGATGAATTTTCAAAGAACAGAACGACTTTTCATTCAAGATTAAACTAGCATGCAACCAGAACATAAAAATAAAAGAAACGATATACAAATTTATCGATGAATTAATTGATTACAAAAGTACCACAAACGAAAGGTAATCAAAATACACAGACAATAGCTTGTATTCTTTATTAGATCCTTAAAACAATTTCATTCCATTTAAATCGAACCTTTTCGCAAATGATTTCGCGTAACGTTCAGTTCCTCGAGGAGTCGAAATATGTTTATGCGTATTTACAGCATTCGCTTATTAACGAGGCCCACGCGTTGTGTGTACATTAATGCAAGTGAAGTGGTGTAGAATTAAGGGGAGACTAAGGAGGAAACAACGCAAGAATAAGGGCGGGGACAAGAGGGGCCAGATAAAGCGGTTGACCCTCGCCCCTTCAATGACCCGGGAGATATCGTTCCACTAAATTCACTGACGTGCCTCTCAGTCGAATGCGTGGCCTGATCTACTGCAGGTCACACTGATCGCTATTTCT